TTTGTTGGACCACAGTGCAGACAGGTGTTGTCTCCAGTAATGACTCCTGCAGGAGTCTTCTTCTAACCCGTCTCTTTCACTAATTGGACAGTCTACCCACACACAGAATAAAATAGATATAACAAACCCACATGAATGGAGGCCTTCAACCACAAACTGTCAGCAGTTACTTCATGGAGAGTCCTCACACAGGCATCCACCTGAGGCTCACTTGGGTTCTGTCTTTGCTAACAATTTGAGGGTAACAAGGTTTTTTAAGAGGATTAATGGATTTTCTGATCTTAAAGTAAGCTCTGCTGCAATACTGGGTCTCTAAGGTGAGTTATTTTGAGGAAATATGGGTTTGATACCCTAAGGCAAGGCTAATGGATGAACTTAGTTGGGAAAAGCAAGCAGAAAATGGCACTAGATAACATTTTACCACTCACTTTTACCCCACCTGGGAATATATCAAGTGTGTGACCTGTCCAGTGAAAGAAAACAGAAGCAATTTCCCAGAAGTCTCCTGTCTTGTTGCCTTTATATCACCAAAGAACTTTCCTCGTGTGAGAGAGGCTTAAACTTGTACACTGTTTAAGGCTGCATGACCCTGGAATCACAGGAATCAGCTGTCAAATTAGAGGGCTATAACTCTAAACATACAGCTGTAGAATAACTAAAAGGGATCTCTTATAGTTGTACTTCTGGACACAAGACAAGAGCATGTTTTTGTTTATGTTGCTTTTTGAAAACTTAGAAGAAAATACTCATTTAGAAAAGAAGATGACAATTAATGAAGGCACAATGTTTTAACCATTGGCACAGAAATAAAAGAGAATGAGACTACAGATAAAAATAGTGTACCAATTAGACATGCATAGGCAGAACTGGAGACAGAGCCAGGTACAAGAATGGAAGGAAAAGATGAACTGTAGCTACATAAAGAGATGGACAGTATTGCAGCCCATCCACTGCTCCCCCTCCCTTCAACACTGGGTAAATAGAATAATTACTGGGTGGTCAGTGTAGTGTGAAATGACAGCGTGACCACAGCACAATGAAACGCTGCCCAAATGTAGACAGAACACGACGAGCACATGGCTTCCTGAATACAAAGTGTGCCTGAATGTGTAGCACAGATAGAAAAAGGAGTGAAAGTGTGTGTATTCAGTTTGTGTGTGTGTGTGTGTGTGTGTGTGTGTGTGTGTGTGTGTGTGTGTGTGTGTGTGTGTGTGTGTGTGCATGCGCTTAAAGAATAATGAGCAACACAACATTGTGGGACAAAATGCTCCTTTTTCTGCAAACTAGTGCAGCATTGATCTTTTAACCTCTTCCATGCAGCCTGGGACAAAAGCAAATCCATGCTAATGTAATCATTTGGACCAAATTTTGGACTTGAATGTGTACTGTTAAATTCAATGGGCCAGGTGCATGAAGATAGCAGTGTTGTGGCTGAAGTGACTGCCCATCAGACAATGCAAAGCCAGCAAAAGACCAGACAGCGTTCATTTCTTCTTGTTGTTGAACAAAAGTAGCTACTATGAACCACATTTCAGACCTAAAAACACCACCTATACAGTATATATATTTTACTTCTACGACTGCCATGTTTTTTTCCTTCTTTTAATAAAATAGATGGAACCTAAACTGACTGAAGTCCTTGAACAGATTTGACTGTTTTCAACTTAAAGGCTTTCTATGTGATTTTTCACACTTAAATGTAGAAATCAAGTATATCCTCTGAAAATAACTCTGTGAGTCATGACTGTCTACAATGGGTGTAACACCGAGTCCCACTGTCTGTGATGTTTTCAGAGTTTTCAGAGTCCTATCTTCACTTTGTTTACATCGCCAGGACGGCCGGCTGACTCCTCCCCTCACGTATAAAAGTTGTTTAATTGAGGGACTAGAGAAAAGAAGAATAACATACTGTACTCACTGCTTAACTGTGTTTCTAGATCACGCTCATTTCAGGTAAATTTACAAGAAGATACGAGCATAATAAAGATCGCTAGCATTAGCATGCTAACACAACAATGTGTTAGCATTGTTGATTTGGTTTCATGCTGGTGCTCAAGGGCGACATCTGCTGGATCAAAAAATCACATATAAAGCCTTTAAGCATAAGCACTTTTAGTTTTAAAGTAATAGCAAGAAGCAACATAAACTATTCAAGTAAACTACTCTGACACTGATTGAATTTCTTAAATTACCCAAAATATGTGGAAAAGACAGAAGTCAGATGTGAGAGATATTGTAGAGAGATACTTTACCATCAATTACCCCATTGTAGAGCTAACACTTTAACCTTCCACTGGACAATGAAGTTGTAAAATCTTTATATTTATGGACAAAGGTTTCTAATCAAGATTGATCAGATCATTTTTCAAAAATCTATCTATTTAATTCTGTGACCTATTCAGATGCATTTAACACTGCTGCCAACAGAGGGAACATAGGTGACTTCTACATCACTTGTTACTTTTACAGGTCTTTCTTAGAGGTGTTTCATTGTAAGTGACATTAAGGCTTTAAAGGTGAACAGTAACACATTAGATCAGTGGTAGCAAATTGAAGGATGTGTGTGTTAATGAAAACCAAAGGGTGATGAATGGAAATGTGAGAATAACAGTTAAAAATAAAAGATCAGAATTAATTTGCCATCCTATAAATTTTTCTGATATATTGCTGGAAAAGGAAAAATGAATTGCTTTCTGACTTAAAAGGATTCTCTTTCCAAAAAAGGGCGGAGAAGGGTGTAGATATGGCCACAAATTGGGAAGGCCAACACAGCGTTTCAGTGCCATTGTGGCTGCAGCTGACACATTTTAACAGCATGTGAGGTCTCAACTCTGAAATCTCAGAAGAGAAACTCTGACTCTTGTGAAATCCTGCTATTCCTTTTTCCTACCTGCAGAATGAGGTTTTAAATTATAGTCTTGCCATATCTGTGAGGCTATTTGTAGCTAAAGATAAATAATATTGAGGTGTACTTCATTAAAAAGAGATGCTTTTTTTAAATTATAAGGAGAGCATGTTTTCATGCATATCTGTTCATAAAATCTAGTACCTATTCAAAGCTGAGATTTCAAACCAGCATTTTTTTGTCTTTCTGTGAGTGCTTGAGAGGACAAAGTGGAATAAAGAACAAAGACAATCACATATTTTGTTATTTTACTATTAAAAAAAGATTAGTCAAATGAAAGTAATAGAAATAAGTACGCAGTTATTGTTAGATATGTGTTGTTTACTTTATTTATTGGACTATATTAATTTTCTTAGAACTATTGCAAGTTAAGGTTAATTAAAATGAGATCCACTGTGGACATTAATTGTACTATTTAAAAACAGCAGTGGATGATAAAGATAGCAGCAATGCCTCAATAACTATATACAATAACTATAAACACATGTATTATTAGTGAAACATTTGATTTGGTAGACCAAAGTATCTAAACTCTCACACTGTAACAGATGTCTTTAGGATTTTATTCATCATAGATTTAAGATTTATATGAATCTGAGAATGTTCTGTTATATACTATTATAATTGAGTCAAGAAGTGGTGATAGCTCATTAACACTCAGCTTCACCACTGTATGCTCGGAAAACAATATTCAGATCATCACAATCATGTGGATCATCCTGCAGGTCAGAGCTGCTTTCTCTCTGATATACACTCTGCTGAATGTTTGATTCTACTGTGAGGGCACTCACTCTTTCGACTCACTGCAATCAAGTGTGTGTGGCCCTGATTGGCTCTGTTTAAGCCCAGGTGTGGGGAGCTTTCATACCCTGAGCTGACTCATTATCTCACCTTCAGAGGTAGTGAGAGGTTCTTGCTGTGGTTTCTCGAGTGGTGTGGTGTATATATAAACACAAACTCAGAACTTTGTGTGTATTTGATGTCAATTGCCTGTTTCCAGCGATAACTTGGGGTGCTGGAGAGTTGGTTGTGACTCCGGCCTTTTTGGTTATCAAAGGTCACCCGGGCTGCCTTTGCCTTTCATTTGCAGTGGTTTGTGAATCATTTTCAGTGCATTATTCCATTTAGGATGCCTGTTGTGGCTATATACAGTTTTTGTTGTTTTTTTCCGCCCTTTCTAATCTATCGCCATTGCAATTTTGTGGTTATCCTTTGAGACACCAATGGAACACAGCACCTGGGTCCCAAGCCCCCCCCCCTTTCCTGACAAATACTGCACACAATGCCTGACTTTCACTTGCTATAGATGTGCAGGGTTAGAAAGAAAGTTAACGAATAGATCATTATCAAGCAAACTGCCTTAGCCTATGATAGGCTTGTAAAACATAATGCAGGAATGAAAAAAACATTGTAATAAGTATACTGAATGGTTCATTCCACAGAAAATGGTGTTGCAAAGCTCATTCAAAGTACTTACCGGATGTGAGCCTCAGCTGTAGTAGCTGCTTGGTTGAACTGTTCAGTCGTCTGCTCGTAGTTGTCAAAGTTCTGCAGACACAGAGACCGCGAGAGAAAGTACAATGAGAATCAATTCAGGGATATTCTACCCTATTAAATAAATTCCAATTCACCATGAACTGGATGCTCAGACCAGACACATGATGCTTTTGAGGATTTAGAAAACATGCACCCCGGCTTTTAACTTTCAACAATTTTCACATCAAATTCATTTAGAAGATAAAGCCTAAGAGCTTGCTATAATTCAAATGTATTTATTTAAGCCTCAGTTCCAGCACAAATAAGCCAATAATGATGAGCAAAATGAATGAAGGCCTACTGAAAAAGCCACATTTGTTAATTTAGCAACCTTTAAATTTTGCAGAAGTGCTTACAAATTTGAATGCTAATGGCCTCTTAGTGTTCACTAATGTTGTTTTTTTTCATGTGAGAAAGAGTGGCATTTAAACAGAAATAATTATACAGATGGAGCTGTGCAAAGTTACACAACACCTTTCTACTGAAGTAATCAGTGATCACAGTGTTAACTACTCTGCATTAAGGTCAGAGCAGCTCACAAGGGGACAAGGAAGAGGTAAAGATTGCATGTAGTTTTAGAGAAGCCACAATGCACAATGCATTTAAAAAAGATCCAATTTTTAGACAAAAAATAAATCCCCAAACAGGCTTTGGATCAGAGCACATTGAATTCAGTTTGACTAGAATGCCCAATCACAAAGAAAATCTCTCTCACTGTACCACCCTCCCTAACACATTCACTGGGCAGTAATCACATTTTAAACCAATAACAGCAGTGCTCACGCTTTTACTTAATTATTCCCTATATTCCCAATAGATGAGGTGATAGGAGAGGAAGATAATTGCAGTGACTGAGCGAGGAAAGAGATGGATCAAACACAACCCCCCCCACACACACACACACACACACACACACACACACACACACACACACACACACACACACACACACACACACACACACAATCCCTAGCACTCTACTCCTACAGTGCCCCCAAGTCATTTTCATATCTCATTATTTCACACTGATCCTAAGACATGCTTCTCCTGATCTCAATGTCTGGTGTTGGAAAAGACTCAAGTAGAGTAGGGAGCATCTTTTTCCTTAATCCTGCTAGTATGCACTACAATGTAAAAATTGGTTCCTAATCTTTTTTCTTCCCTGTATTAAGAAGAAAAACAGCATAATTTAGTTATCAGCATGATATAAAGTAAAAGAGAACATGTTGCTCTAATTAGTTACTCATACCAATTACCAATAGTTGTGTTGAAGTATCACGCAGACAATTTCTGTTAAAGCATCACATAAACTACTGCCATTCACTGAAGAAATGTACCAGTTTATGTCAAGAGAAGTTATTTCTGCTAGTGCACTAACAACCTATAATGAATTTATCTCAATCAAATTCTGCTTTTGAAGTTTTTATTGGTATAGTTGCTTTTTAAACTGACACCAATGGTCTGTTTAGGATGTATTTGACAATGGGGAAATGTTAAACTTCCTGAGGTACAGGTCTTATTCCTGCCAGTTGTGTTACCTGGCAGTGTTATACTGGATTTCCCAGGGACAGGATTCAGGATTAGACTCCTGTTGCTGTTAAGTCTCCCCATTGCTAATCCATGGACAAGTCTTAAATGCCACATCCTGACAGGGCGGTAACTGCGGCTCCAAAGCAAGTCGGGTATACTTCATCGCAGCGTTATGTACTTTTAGCATACATAAAAGTACACTTGATCGGTTAGTTTTGTCAAACATTTTAGTATTCAGCCTTCATTCAAAAGGGCTAGAAAACGGATCCCTGGATTCATAAACATTTGCAAGATAGAAGTCCCACTTTTTGATAGAAGAGAGTTAGCTAATACTTTGGCAGCCGCCCTGGGAATGTGTGGTTAAAGGTTAGCTGCATGTTAGCGAGTGAGCCTTCAGCCTGAAGTCAAAGGCTCAGTGGGTAAACTCAACAGAGAAAGGCTGAGTTGAAACTTGAAAGTCTGGGATTGCCTGGTGTGATATCCAGTGTTTGAGCCAAGATAAAAGGCTCCACTGGGGTTTAAACTCATGAACGCCTCAGATTATGCAGGACAGAGAGAGTAGGAAACAAGCAAGGGAGGCAGCAAGCAGATGACTGGTAAAGAGAACTTCTCAGTGATGATTGGTGTATCATGCCAAGGCTCTAACTTAAATGTTTGGAGGGGTTAGACGTTGGATGTTTCAATGCCTCACACATGGAAGAAGTGAACATATTTCACAATGTTGACAGTGTGGAAGCAATACTTTTATTATAATATTTGATTCATTATTTTCCTGTTTGAATCCTACCAAGGCATAGAGAGTAGCCTACAGGAACATTGTGCCTGATCTAAATTGACCCAAACGTCTCCTCCTCTCATACAAACTAACAGTCAAACAACAGTATGTCTTTATCCATGGATATTAACCAACATTTTTAGCTTTTTGGTTATGGAAGGGATGTCATAACAAATTTTAGAAATAAGCACCTGCCCCTATCATGAGGGTTACGTTTAAGTTAGCTGTGAAAGATAATTCCCCCTTGTATCCATGGTGTATAGGTTAGTGTTACATTGAAGGAATTCTTACATTAAGATCCGTCAGGGCTTCTGAATGACTACTGTCAGGTACCAGTGTCTCTGTGTTTGAATATATAAAGTTGTCTTATTGAATTAAGAGAGGAAGACAAAAAAGATGGAGAGTTCAGTTAAGATGTTTAGTTGCCTGTCAAAGTGGCAGGTTAGAAAATAATATATTTCAGACCCTTGATACAACTATCATGTCTGTGGTCTTGGAAATAGAAAAAGGGCAAGGAGACAAAACAGAGGAGAGAAAGTGCAGAAGTAGTGTTTGGAATGAATCGCAGGTACAGCTTATCCAGTCGTAATGCTGGGGGACACCTGGCTGTGTTGATTTTTGTGTGAATCAACATGTTTTTTTTGTGTCAGTTGAAAGAGCAGACCCAGAGCAGCAGCCCCAGCTCAGCTGACACCAGAGAAGTGGCAGTACTATCACTGGCACACACTCTCTGAGCTTTTCCCAGTCGTTTGCACCCATGGGGACAAAAGCCCAATGTGGAGAAACAGGAAAGGGGGGATGATAACCCTCAGCGGGGTGTGGGGGGTGGGGAATAGGTTTTGGAACCACTCGTGGAGGGGATTAGTATGGATGTGTGTGTGTGTGTGTGTGTGTGTGTGTGTGTGTGTGTGCGTGAGCTTGCATACATGCAGGTGTGTGACTAAATCTGTGTTTGTACGTGAACGCTTGTGTTGGATGATCCTTACATGCACACTCGTCTGAACACCCTCCAGCAGCTGAGGATTGAGATGGGCTGATGTCAGGATTTTGAGGGTGTCGCGGGTTGGGGTGGGGTGGGGGTAGGGGTTTTCATGCTCCACACTTGGATGAAGGCGGATTAATTTTTCGGGGGGGGGGGGGGGGATTAAAAGAGGTGAATTTAAAACTGAGACTTGTTTACAGAGTCACAGGGTATGTTGCCACAGGGAGACAGATTTACTCCACCTGTACGCTGGGAAGAGATTAAGGAGGCATCCACAAATAAACCAGAGAGAGAGAGGGAAGGAGAGAGAGAGAGAGAGAGAGAGAGAGAGAGAGAGAGAGAGAGAGAGAGTACCAGTATGTTTAGGGGTGTTGTCTTTTTGCTGGAAACAGAGGGGAAATGCAAAGTTGTTCACTGGCTTGGTTATTCTATCATAATTACTTCTGAAGTGACAGCATACACACAAATCTGTCACACAACCCTCCCAAAATCACACAAACACACACACATATGTTGCAGGCTTTTTCCTCATGTGTCAGTAGTGGACTCAAAGAGCATCATCAGCCTTTGGACAAATACGATTGTCTGTTATCGTCATTCATCCCTTAGGCAAACTGGACACCAGTGTGTTTGTTTTCATACAGGTAATCAACCTCACTCACACACATACACACACACACCTACGCACAATTATCAGCCTACTATAAAGGGCTGCTACTAAGCCAGAGTAAAATGTTGATTCAGAAGAAGATCACACACCAATTACCTGTGGATTCTACTTCTAAGCTGTCTGCTTTTTCCTTTGGCTTAAATCTCTGCCTCAGATCATTAACACATGCAAACAGTGTAATAGCTAGTGTATGAGGGAGTGCTTGTGCTATTGAAGATTTTGTACGCAACAGCAATACAGAAGTGAGAAAACAGAACCCTCTTATGGGATTATCATATAAGTATAAAATCGTAGCCTGGTATTCACACTCCCAAAGGTATTAATCACCTTTAAATGTGAGCGTCATATTAACTGGATTGAATATGAGGCTGATGGTGAAGGATGTCTCACTGAGCAATGTACAGATGTCTTCACATGCCTGGATCATCATTTATGTGAAAAGTGAGACATATTACCACTTCAAGTCGGGTTTTGCATTTATATATATATGACCTGTGTCAGTCACAATTCAACTTTTTTAAGTGGCAATTTATTTCACCCAACTGGCATTAGCCACAGGTAAAAGAGATTGAAAGGAAGAAGAAATGGGCAGGGTAAAGGAACTGCTTAATGCACAGTCCATATAGCCTCTTTATCTCTCGCTCTCAGTCCCCCTCTTTCTCACTTCCTCATCCGCATGCAGGTCAGCCGCGAGCAAGTGAGGGGTGAATAGAAGCGATAGAAAAGGCGAATGCTGCGGCAGGCGGGGGAACGATAGAGCATCCTCCACTCTTCTGCCAATCAGTCTCTTCCGTCAAGCATTGAGGTGTGTGCTGCTTGCCACACGGCGTGCAGGGCCCTTCTATTTAACTTGGCTATGTAAAAGGTTTTCTCAGAGGCCTTAAGGAGGCGAGCACCGTGGACTAGATAAGGTCCCCTGATGGGTGCTGCCAGGCGGAGGGGTCTATTGAATACTGAATGGAGAGTTCTGGGTGTGGTGGGTAGACACAGGAGGTATGTGCGATTACTCTTCCAGTTACATCACTTGAATATGTTTTTGGTTTTCAGCAATGTTAAGGTGCCTTAAAAATAACATAAATATTTGTTCATGATATTTTTGTATCTTTCTACCTAGGATTTTCTATTCTTTCATTTTCTTTATTTTCAATCTGCCGTCTTTACTATTTACACCACTTCTTTATTCTTTTGTCCATCCCAAAGAGCACAAATCCTTTTTCAGGGTCTATCACACTGAGGGTACTAACCTTGCTTGCGGCAAAGTCTTTTAACAAATCTACTCAGGTTTACTTCATAGGCAAGGAACAGATATGCCTGTGGCTTTTACGAGTACAAAATATCAACAGTCAACTAGTGCTAAGGTCAAGGGAATACGGGACATCATTTCTTAAAAGCGTCTTAATAAAGGTACATACTGTACAGGTGATGTGAAAAGCAGAGTACATTTTGATTAATCTACTGAAGATTTCAGAGACACAGTGCTGTGAAAGCTCTTAAGAGTGCTGGTTTATCAACAACACATTGTGACTCTCATCTGCCTGCTGAATGTACAATTTAATACAGGTATGTGGACCTGACATTTCCAAGATAAAAAGAGAGCCTGGTGTCCCAGAGATATTTTAGTCCCTAAGGAGAGTAAATAACATGTCATTTAAGACCATATTTCTGATGTTTAAAGCCTAGTTTTTTTATGAGAGCATACAGGACATTGTATCTAGTGAAGTCTCCTTACCTACAATCCTACTCCCTAAACTGTTCAAACAAAGAGGATGAATTGATGAAAAAAATGCTCTTTCATTTACTTCAATGAGACAATGCTAGCACTTCTGTAGTTGCACTAACATGGTCTCAGAATGTGGTTCAACTCTAAGTGGTCATCTTAATGGTAAGCATGTAACGAGTGAGGAAATGGTCCTTACCTTTTTCTCCAGTGTTGCTAGTTGCTCTTTATAGAAGCTGGAAATGCTGGCCAGTTCCTTCTCCTTCCTCTCCAACTGTTTAGACTGACACAGGGATAGAAAGGGAATAATAAATGAAAAAGAGGGCAATACAGAAGAAGGAAAATAAATAGAAATTAAAGAAGGACTGCATTCGTTTCAGAAAATGTAAACCCAATTGTTGTTCTAGTTCTTTTTTACGGACACAAGAGCATGGGTTTAAATGACTTGACACTGATCTCACCTGACAAGTGTTTAGCTCTTTATGAAACAAAATGAAATGAATACTCATGCATCTTTATGACCTATAAAAGCAAACAAAAGTGATAACTTTGATATGGTCAAAAAAACACTGAAACCACTGCCATGGGGTTAGGTGTCAAATGAGGATATTAACAGCACGCTACAGAAACAAACATCTTTTACATTTCCCATGGGAAAAGTTCTTGATGATTGATTCATTTGATTTTTTTAAAGTAAGCTGGATAAGATGTTTTGTTCAAAAACACTACACACATGTACAGGACAAAACCAAAGAAATAGAAGTGCCACTTTGTCCACAAGGGGCACTAAAACTAACTGCCTTGTTAATAATGAGGATAAAGCCAGTATTAATCCAGTTATGAATATAAATTGTAATTAGCCTTTCATTTTATTGAAAAGGTTAAGGGTCATGTGCTAAGTGAATCCAATATTTGTTTGTAAGAAACATGGGATATGGGGCAGAGACTAGGTAAGGACTAAGGGGAGGACAAGGCAACATGTTGCTTTGATTGCAGAACAGGCCTATAAATAAGATCATTAAAAATACAGCCAAGGAGACAAAACTGACAACACATCTTAACTATGATATTAAATATAATTTAAGTATCAATGAACCCTCATATTTCAGTTAAAAAGAAAATCCATCACTAAGTAAGTATGACCACTCTACCACTATAAATCACCACTTTAATGGATATCATTTTGTATTGGGACATATTAGCTTCATTTCAGCATTTTGTGCCCTATCAGTCATTTTACACGACTGTAATATCGTGATGGCAGCAAACAATAGAGCTTCTGTATCAGCTGAAACACAGCCACTTGTGTTAATTACATCACAGAAGAGACATTTACATTTGGCTGAAATCACATATTTTCTACAACACAACATCACTGAGCTCCTGCCTCTGGAAACAGATCACTGTTGCAAATATTTCAAGAAAACAGAGCACTAATGATTATATCCTCCTATGCAGTGTGGTTAAAATATCAGTAGTAGTTTTATCATTTTTGAATCATTACTTTAAAATGTCTAACTTTTAATTATTCTACTGACACATCCACCACTCTATGAAAACTTCACAAATCAGATTCTTTCTTTTTTATTAAGGTTTATTCCTGGGCTTTTTATGTTTTCATTTTAGAGACAGGCAATGGATAGAGTCAGAAATCAGGGAGAGAGAGAGTGGGAAATGACTTGCAGGAAAAGAGCCACAGGTTGGATTTGAACCTGGGCCACCCGCTTGGAGGATTTTGGCCTCCGTACATGGCGCACACACTTTAACCACTAGGCTACTGGCGCCCCCAAATCTCTGATTGTTGATGTATTTATGGAGGGTAAACAAAGTAAATCATGAAAGACTGGCATTAAAATGACTTACAAAACTAATCAGCTGGCATGTGACTGGCACAGCGACACAGCAGGGGCTGACATGGCGATGTTGGTGTTAGGATGAGGTGAAACACTTTAATATGCCCGCTGAGCCAAGCTTTGACAGGCAGATAGATGGTAGATTGGCTGTAGGAAGAGCCATAGTTTGGGCCATGGCCACAGCAGCATGCAAGCAGAGGAAGATAGGAGGCAGACGTCAAAAAGATACACTGTGAAAACAAGTTGCCAGGAGTAAAAAAAATACTTTTTTTTAATGCACATGTGCAAGGATTTTTAGATAAAAGAGTCACTGACAAACCACAGTTTTTAGTACCACTGAATTCACAATGCTTCAACAGTAATATGCCATTTCAAAAGGTGGAATAAAACGGGATACGTACTCACAAACACAATAGATAGAAGCAGAAAAAGCATAATGAAGAGGTTTAAAGCAAATGTCACACAGACAGTTAATAAAAAAAGAAGATGTTAATGATTTACAAAAGAAAAAAAGATAGCAATGTAGGAACGTCTGTGTAGTATGCCAACAAGGCAACTGAACTATGATCTCTCACCATGTCACCAGCTTCATGTTTTTATCAAATGCTTTTCTAACCCATCTCATTTCAGATTACGGACAATCAAAAAGCAACATTATAGCAATAAAACATGGTGCGGTTTGGTGTGGTTTCTTAATATGAAGAATAGCAAATTAATCTTCAGAAAACATACTATAAACCATAAAGTTGTCAAAACAATCAATACTTTTCAATACCATGTTTAAAAAAAAATCTATTTTAATGATCGATAATTATGGAAAAGCATTTGAAAAACTACAGATACTTCAATCATAGTTCAACCAAAAGCAATGCGTTATGGAACAGAAATGCTGTTAACAAATTCATGCAATTTAGAAAGTGTGCCGGAGGTTGTCTGCAATTTTTGGTAATTAAAAAAAAAACCATTAAAATAAATATGGGAGCCTCTAAATTTTGTTTTTATTGCTGTGGTAACCAACAAGGTTGTTTTTTTACTAGTACAATATGGAAGTTTGCAATTCTGGTATCATGACAACCCTAATACCTCATACTGGATTCAAATACACTGATTTGTACTAATTCGAGCTGAACTGAAATGCAGTGAACTGAACCGAGGAACAAAAAACAACTTGCAGCTCGGTTTAGATCTCAGTGTTTACAGTGCATCTGTCAGAAGTTTGGTTATGCTGTGGTGAGTATGTGGTGGATCAAAGAAGAAGCTCAGCAGCTGTACAAACTGAATCACATATTTTGACTAAAATGCACAAAAGGATGGGCAGCATGCACACTGTGAACAGAGGGTGCTTCAGTTCTCTCTAGAATGCACACATTTGTTCGGAGGAAGTTTACATATGTGTGACTGCATTTTAAAGTGAATATTTAACAACGCTCAGGCACTCACAAACACATGTTGTTTCTTGCCCATAAGGTTAATGAGTGAAGCTACAAGCTGGGGGAACATGATATGGTGCATGAACACAATGAAGCTGGCTGACAAGAAAAGGCAGCAATAGGGCATGGATTTATGTAGCACTGAAAGTGTGTATCATGGACATACGCACAGACACACACATTCAGTGTAATGCCATGGTGTAATTTTGAGTTGTGCATTACTGAGGGTGATATAGATCAGATGGAGTACCAGCATCATCCCTGGATGATCTTCTTTGCTCTGAGCTGATATGGTGAACACAGGTGTGCAGATACACACACGTGTACTTACACACAGACATCACATTACATCTATTGTAATCCAATTTAATCTTATCCTAACTTAACAGGCACATGCATCCCAAAAGACCACATCTGCAAATCCCTAGACTGTGCTCACTGCACTTTTTCTTTTCCGCAGCGTCTGTTTGATGCTTAAGGGCTGTGTGTGTAGGATTGTAGGTTTGTGTGTAAAATCACCTCTGCTAGCAGCGCAGATGATGTGTAATTTTCTAGCTGAATACCTCCCAAAGTGTTGTTGTGTGGAATGTTGGCGGCGGCACACTCACAGCCTCGCTTTAACGCACAATGAAAACATGACATTTGAATAGAGAGAGAGAGAGAGAGAGAAAATAAAAAGAGAAAGGACGAGGTAGAGAGAAAGAGCAAGAAAAAAAAATGAAAAGCATTAGAAGTGTTGCTTACCCAGGAATCCAAATCTGCTGGCTAGGAGAGAGTCAAGGAACAGAGGGTTAGTGAGATGGCAGAGGGTGTTAGGTACGTGCAAGATGTGTAGAAACAATTGATATGTGATAGAGCGAAAGAGGAGAAGGAAGTAGCAAGATTCAGGTGGATAATAAGAGACTATTCAAAATGGCCGTGCAAAATAATGTGGATTCCCCATACCATATCGATTTCCCCACCCTCTACATCAATACATTAAATGGATTAGAATGTCCTTGAGTTTCCCTTAAATTCCTGGAATCAAAAAACCTCTGTGTCCCTGAAGATGCTGTTAGTTGCAGCTTGTAGGCTTGTTCCTGGACCCTAAAGCTGTCACGAGCAAGAGAGAGAGAGGAGCAGTGGGTAGAGCGACACGCAGAAGAGGTTTTTGTGGGAGCGGGGATGATATATCAGCAAAAATAAGAAATAAGACATTACTTAATTTCACATCAGTTTCACTGTAAAGACTCAATAAAATGATTACAGTTCTTCACAAAAATGCAGACAGGAGTAAGTTTGGTTTATGTGCTGCTTTTCCCCATTCAAGCGGCAACCCCCAGTGTTGGATATGAAGCCAATGCGGAAGTGCAAAAGCTGCAGTTCATCAAGTGTCCACATGAGGCTGGCTGCAGAAGCCCTGATGTACCATTGACATCGATATTAAAATGCCAATTTTTACAGCAGAAAAAAATGTTTACATCCTTATAAAAAAATGATTTGGTCTGAATAGTTAGTGTCTTTATTATTGGTATACACTGGATTGAATTTCTTTACAACTCATCTGTTTTGATTTTATGAAGGATAAGACTTGTTCATAATTAGGCACGCGGCTGACCTGATGGATTGTGGGCACAGTGTAATCGTTAGTGAGGAGGCTTATGACCAGCCTCAGCTCCAGCTCTTTGCCTGGTGTTAGGTTTTCCACAATTTTCTTTTGAGCCATCATTCACAATATTACGACCGCCATTGACAGTTAAAGCCCTGACACACCCAGGACATCATCGGCCGTCAGTAGTTGGACCGTCAAAGAGCGGTCGTCGCACTAGTTTTTTGTGGTATGTCCGGCTCAATTGCTACCCATTGGCTCACATCGGCTCACGTCGGCCTTTTTTTTGGCCCATTCGACATTGAATGGGCGCCGGCTGTCGGTGAGAGGAATCTCTCTGACTTCGGAGGTTTCATTTATCGCCAGTTCTCGACACAGGTTCGGGAAAGCCCGCTGAGCATGCCGCTGTAGTATCCGTGTATGCATTCACCCATTAGTGCGGTTTCTCCTTATTTGTTGCCTCAGCCTCATTTTCAACTTTTTATCAGACATTATTCTTAATTAGAAGTACCTATCATTACGAGTGGTGACCGACAGCGGTGTGAAAATGGTCTTCTCGTATCATAACAAAATACTCTCGCCGCCTGCTGGCATGCAGAGTTATTTCTCTCAAGCATGTGCAGAACGTACGCGGTGGTTGGCCATCGCTGTAGTCTCTGCGGTGTGTTCTAGTGCATTTTTTTTGGCCGACAAACGGCGACGTGAGGCGAAGCCACAGGTCGCCACTAGTTTTTTGCCATCTGCTT